TTAACCTGGTCTAAGGGAGTATTGTTTGGGGCAATAGAGATATTTCATACAACTCGATCAGTTTCTACCTATGTTCGTTATAATATGATCGTTGTTCCAGAATGTTTTCTTCTACTTGTACCTAATCTACAGCTTTACACGACTTGTTGCATTAGCTGAAAATTTTGGAGATGTGGCCGGGGTCACGCATCGGTTAGTTCTATGCAACTCTGAAAAATTATTTGATTCAATCAATATTTTCAACGAATTTATTTGCAAACTCCATGTTCCAATGCGTACGCTTTGACATGCAGTCATTGTGATTAAAAATTCCTTGGCTCTCATCTTCTTCGTCAACGAATCTGGAATGGTGAATCAGTATATATTTGGTGATAATTTTATGTTTATAGTGTAATTGGATTATACGAAGAATTGAAACGTTTGAATGAATCTTCGTCGAGAAATAATCAGAAAAAGGATGAGGATTCTTTGATACATGTTATTGTGGATGAAAATGAAAAATCTTCACAATCCCGAAATGGTTTCATAACAGAGCAAGTAAATATTACGCATCGTTGAATTCACCGCAGTAAAATAGCGTTCATCCGAAATTTCAAAGACTCCTCAGACAAAGAACAAAAGTTGTGCTTCAGTTTTTATCAGTGAGCTGGGTGTATCATCATTGGAGTGATTAGTACTGCTGGTTGCTTGAGTCCAATGTTTGTATTGAGCAAAAAGTGAGCGGGTTGGAGCCAGACAACTATACAATCAACAACACAGCACTGCTACGGAATAGCTTTAATGCTGTGAATACGCTAGCAAAACCTACCATTCAATAAGCGATTGATTCGCTTGTAAGAACATAGTCGAGAATAGGGTTTGTCTCTAATGATCGACTCTGTCCAAGTGAAGGTTATAAATGCACATGCAAATGCCCAAGTGAAGATGCAGGTTATCACATGCAAAACCAATGCAAATTTTCTCACACTAAGCCTACGGTTTATTGACAATAAGCAATATCTAGTTATTCTCATCGTCTCATTTGCTCATTTCATTGACCAGTACTTATGATGAAGAACTGAAAATTGTGTAACGAAAATCTGCAAGGAGTATTTCTGTGCAACGAAAATCTGTGCCTATCAAAAGATTCTTATTATCAATGATCGAAAGTTTATTGTCCAACAAGAGAATGCTTATTTAAAGTGTACATTTCAGAAAAGACACAGCAACGATGATAACGTAAGCGAATTAAATTGCTTATCAGAAGCCGAAAAAGAGAGCCTGCTTAAAAACGACGAGTAAATATATTCAGAAATATTATCGATAAAATTTTGTTTTGTTAGAAAAAATTTGCACAGCAATTACTAGAATGAGTTCAAATTTGCATGTGAATATCACTTTAAGATGAATGAAAACGAATGAAATTCAGCAACTGCATTTGTAGTTGCAGAACGTCGTTGTTCATTTAGCAGATTATTCAATCAATTATTTCGTGCCTCCAGGCCACCATGAATTCAATTGAATGCTAAGAAAAACTTTTTTTTTCAGTTCAAGCAATGAACTTCGTCCAGACGATAAAATGATCATGGATCTTTTGTCTGTGTGCATTTCAAAACAGGGCACTTCGGATTCGATTCTTGTTAACGGTCAGCTATTATTCAAGTTTATCGATTCACACTAGAGTTGGGGGAAACCGAGGATTTTTTCCTCATCGCCCAAAATATCCTCCTCCTCCAAAACCAGTTGATCTTGTGGTTTAAAAAAATCCTCATCGTTTTCAATTCTGACTGACAATATGGTTAGTTGTGGTTGCTATTCTGCTGAACACAAACTTTGNTATTGATCACGGGTGACAGCAGTACTGGGAAGACATCAATTCTGAGGGTTTTGGCTGATCTATGGCCGTGTTTTTTAGGTAAGGCTATCAGTATTAAATTACTAGCAGGCATAAGTTTATAGACAATTCGTTCGTCACTGCTGTTCTGGATGCGTTGTAATGTTGGATGGATACATAAGTTCGTTTGCAGTTTGCTTCATTCCAGCAGTGAATTTTTTGTATGACCAATAAACATCATTAACTGAACATTTGTGAATTTTGGAATTTCCTCCTGTTTAGGCTCGATCGAACGTTATTCGGAATTCACGCCTTCAAACATGCTCTTCATACCGCAGAATCCATACTTTCCCAGTGGATCGACAACACTACGACAGCAGATCGTTTATCCATCAAAAGCTAAAGCTGATGAGAAAGGTGCTGTACACTTCAGATCATCGCTCGAATCAAATAATGCCAGCTTTTCTATCATAAGGAATGAATCCAAAATTTGAATGAATGCAGTGAACGCAATCAACGACGTTCAAATTGTGTTTCATTTCAAACAAATACATAAACGCATTTCATCGACTCATATTTGAAATTGAACATTAGAGACTTTGATGACGACATTATAGTTTTACTCACAAAAATTTAAAAGTAGTTCATCGAAAAAAGTATTCATATTCCAGAAATTCCGAAATTGAGGAATATATTGGAGGATATCGGTATGACGCATGCACTGAAGCGTTGTTCGGGTTTGGATGAACCGTTTGATGCAGACTGGTAAAACAGTGCACTGTTGTTGTTTGTAATGAGCGCTTTTTTGACTTGGATATTTTCCTTCGATTTGAATTTCCCCAGTGTTCTCCAATTACAGGCAAGAAACGTTCTCAAGGGGTGAACTGCAACGATTATGCATTGGACGAGTTTTGTATCATTNCCACCAGTGCACTTGGCTACGACATGGAGACGAATCTTTACAAAATTATTCATGAGGTTATCAAATAATCTGTCTAATAGTAAGACTTCCAGATTTTCTGACAGCCGAGGTGCTGCAATTACTGACAAGACTCCGTAAACTGCGAAAGAATAGGACAGACAAACGCAAATTTTGATTTTCAATGTTAATTCAAAATTTACATATCGTGGCTCGAAAGCATTTCATCATTCGGCTCTGTCAAAGTATTGTAATGTCTTGATCCGCGCTCATCAGTGGAATTAAGATTAAGGCTTCCAACGAAAATTTATAAATTTATTTGAAGCTTTTAGAAATCCGTTACTGTCAGACTTAATCTCATAATAATTCACTGTTTGATGAAATGAAATCTGATGGCAAAAACACTCTGTTCGCGTAATTGCTGCAATCATTATTTCGTTTGCAGAGAGGTATAAGCATGGTGTCGGTAGGGCATCGACAATCACTGCGACAGTTCCATCATGTAGAGCTGCATTTGACTG